AACAGACCCTAAATATTATCTAAATTAAAAGAAAAATTAAATATGGGCCATTATTTGGTAAAGTCTCCGGTGGAGATAGTCAGGATCAGAGTTTGGTGATACCATTTTTTAATTAAAAAAAAACAAGTAAATAAACGATGTTATTAGTAAACAAGCATGCATGAATTAACCCCTTTAATTTTAATTTTAAGTTGATACCTTAACGTCTAAGGATACAAATCTCACAAAATTTCTAGGGGTGTAGAAAAAGTTCATTACATGAATGACTATAAAATAAGTTGGGAACTTGGGATGCAAGAGCTTGTATGGAAAAGTTGTGAAGTCAAAACCAACACCTATGAAGGAAATCTTAGAGAGAGAGAGTTAAATTGATATTATTGATGGAAGGAGAATCACTCCATCAACATCTTTATTATATATAATAAATGCATATATATTAAATTTATTAGTCGTAAATTTTAAATAATCGTAATAAGATCTATAGCATAAACTCTAGATAAAACTATCACATGCATGAAAAGAGGGAGATCAGTCATACAATGTCAGGGATTAAGTTGGGTTTAACTGGTCTAATATCAACAAATATGACGATTTGGAGAGTTCTAAAACTCCAGTAAATGAAAGTTGTGCATACCCAACACAGGAAATTTGTTGACTTGTTCGCTGTATTTCTGCCAAAATTATTTCAGATATGTGAAATAAAAATTGTGCATGGGCATCAATTTTACCATCAATGGAGCTGTAAATACTCAATAAATGAAGAAATGCAATGGGGAGAAGACGGTGACTGACCAGGCTGAACCATTTTTATCTCTGGGTCACTGATTATATATTGAAAAGTTACCCCAAATTGAAATAAAGATCACCCCAATCCACAATAAAGTTAGGATTTCGGAAGTTTAAATCAACCTATGACCTAATGACCAGATTGAGTGAATTAATGGTTCAATTATTAAATGGATTTTAATCAAGTCAGAAGTTTTTCGTCATGTCCTGGATTTAAGGAAAACGAAACCTAAAATTATGGTTGAGTGATGATTCAAATGTGGGTTGAAACTATTGATAAAAGTAATAAAGAATTGAGACCAAAAAAAAAAAAAAAAATGAATGGGTCACTCATTCAATGGTTCGACCGTCTGATCCAATATTTAATAAGCACAGCAAATGTCCCAATCTTCAATGATGTATGTTAGAGAATAAATGCCTGTATATTCAGAGGGACCTCTGATTTGGTCATCACCTCCTGATTTCATCAGGCCTGTATTAATTGGAAAAAGATTCAATGATCTGATCTAGCCTTCGGGTTTTCTTTCAAAAAAAAGAAACAGCTTTGCTTTTTAGGTTGAACTGTTCCTATGACAAAGTAATGTGGAATAAGTGTGAGATATTTTGTATTAATTAAATGTCACACAATGACAAACAAGGACTACCTAAAATTTGCCTATTTAGGCTCAGTTTAGAAGGAGTACAAATACAAATTTGTAGACTACCAAATCTTATATTTTATATTATTTTGTATGTATTTATACTGTACATATTTGTATTTATATTCCTTTCAAACTGAGTCTTATTATTTTCACTATAAACCCCGTATTGATAAAATGCCTGTGCATTAATTCTACTACACATGAGTAGACTTGTTTATGGGCCGGGTAACTCAATGGCCCGGCCTGGCTCAGCCCGTACCCCGGTCGGGCTTGGTCATGTAATTAGGCCCGCGGGCCTGACCTCGGGCCTAACACAGTAAGTCCGATTGTGTTACGGGTCGGGCTCGAGATTTGTCAAAAAAGCCTGGCCCAAGCCCGGCTCGACTCGACTCAGCATTATATATTTTATAAAATACATAATATATATTTTATATATTATATAAAATATATAAATAATATAATATTTATTGAAATATATATATATATATATTTTTATTTTTATTTTTTTCTTTATAATTTCTCTCTCTCTCTCTTTCTATTCAGCCGCTTCAGTAATAGTAACAACATGGGCTAAATTTTGGGCTTGGGCACAAATTGTAGGCCCGATGGTCGGGTTGGACTCGAACTCGGGCCTTAAAAAAATCTGTTAATACAGAGTGAAAGCCCGACCCGAACCCAGCCCATGAACATGTCGGGCTTCATTATTAATTAATTAATTGATTGTTATATCAAATTCCATCCACCATTCTTCACCTCAATCAACCTTTAGCTTCTTCAAAAGGCTTGAGCCACATGTTATACAACATTATGTGCATCCATGACAAAATGTCATTTAGCTTCCTCAGGTTTATTTTTATAAGGGTAAGTTACCTAAACTTCCAATGTGTTTTGTTGAATATGCTTGATATTTTCAAATTTCTATATTGACATTTCAGATAAATTATATTTATATAAATACAACCCTTCTATTAGGTTGACATAGAGGAGACAATGAAATTACTGTAATACACTTATTACCTTTCAGGACAAAATAAAACATTTCAATATGCCAATTTTACCTTTTGATTGTAGCAAAGAAACATATCACACTTGTCCCTCTAAGTTTATAAAATCTGTTAAAGCTCTAAACCAACTTGTCCTTTTATCAAGTCCACCAACCTGACCTCCTTTTTTTTTATCAGAAACGAAACTCAACATGACTAGAGCTACAAAGCTAATAAAAAAAAATTACACTTTCCTTCCTACCAAATTGCCCCATCAAATGGTGCAAATGGTGCAAGTGGGTGGCCTTCTTGTAGCTTGCGTGAGTCGACATTCCATCCAACATCTCCTCAGTGACAAAAACTATATTGGCCTATCCATAGAAGACCAGGCCTCAAATACAACATGGTTGGTTAATAACCCTCATCTATGGACCCCCAAAAAAAAGAAGAGAGAAGAATTTGGGCAAAAACTAGAAAACCTCAGCACCCACATCAATCAGCCATGGACTACCAAAATTAACAGAGGAGCAAGCTCAAGAACTCATTCGTCTACCATCCCTCGAGGAAGTAAAAAATGCTAATTTCCAAATTCACCCTCACAGGGCCCCAAGCAAGGATGGTTTCACTAGTTTCTTTTACCAAAAATTCTGGGACATAGTAGGACCGGATGTGCTCAAGAAGGTCCAAGACTTCTTCCTACATAACACCTCTCTACACTCTCTGAACGAAACAGCTTTTGTTTTCGTATCGAAAGGTTGAAGGTACTAGAAATTAAAGAGGTTTTAGTAAGTTGACCCTGGCCGGGCTAGTTTTATCCGATCAACTTATATTTGACACGTGTTACTTTGTCAGCTACGTGGCAGAGTGGGAGACCTGTACAGTGCACAACATAATGAGCCAAATAATCGCAGCAAACCTGGAACTAGACTAATTAATTAATCAACTACTCCACCCTAGGTCACCTAGACTGAAGTATAAAAACCCCTAATAAATTCTTGCTTGCATCGAGCGCCTGGACATTGAAGCGATGCACAGTAACAGTAAGACCGTCTGTAAGAGGGTGCCTGCGGTTTCATTTGTTGTTCGATTCGTTTGACATCATAGACTTCAGCAACGATGAAACCGCAAGAATCGCGCGCTGGAATTTCTGCTGTTTTTTGTTGGTTGTTCGCTTGTTTGAATGCGGCCCAATGTTAGGGATGGTCACTAGTCGAGTTATTAGAGTTCGATTCGTGAAAAGTTTATTCGAGTTGAGTTTGAGTCAATTTATAGGCTTGATTAATAAATGAGCCGAACTTGATATATAATTATAAAAAATAATATATATATATATATATATATATATAATATAAATATTATAATTCTTAATTTTTTAAATATCAAATAAAAAATATTTTTTATATATATTTTTTTATTTTTATAAAACATTTTTTTTTTAAATTGAGCTCGAAATTATGAGTTTTTGACTCGAGTCAAGCTTGAGCTCAATGTTCTAATTTGAACCGAGCTCGAACATTGTACAATCTTGGTGAACTGAGCTTGAATCTCGTACTATTCGGCTCAGCTCAACTCAACTCGAATCCACCCCTACTCAATGCCGTCAAAGAAATCCTTCAATCAATTCCAGCCAGTTACTATCTGTGATTTGACTATTTGAACTGGTAACAGTTTCAATTCAATATATTGAAGGATATTTAGCATGGTGCTGAGAATAAATTGTTTTCTAGAAACAGTATTGATTTTGTTTGGTACTACTGTTATAGAATCATTTTCAGTATTAGTCATATTATCCAACCCTCAAGATAAGTGTTATATCATTGGACTTTGCACCGCTGATAGTAATGAGCTGTTTTTTGAAAAGCATCAAATTTGGTATTGTTTCGGACCATACTTTTCCGATATTCAAGACATGGTGTGAAGTAATTTTTTTTTTTCCTGAAAAATTGGTAATAAACAAGAGGCCATTTTCTAAAGCATCTCTTTTTCTAATATGACACCTATGTGGTATCGTTTTCTTAGAAAATGACATCTATGCTTTGATGAATTTTTAGGACTTTCACGAAAAAATTGAACTTTTAGGTCCTTGATTGATTGGAAAAGCTAAACAAATATGCAGATTAATTTTCAGTAAGTTTTCTATTTTAATGGCTTTCTACAATTTCTAATGTTGATTAATAGAGGTCTTTCAAGAGAGAGATTAATGGAGGTCGTGAACAGTGACCACTGGCCACACAGTTCAGTTAACAGTTTGAACTTTGAAGTTAATAAATTTACTGTTTGAAAAACAATATTATAATTAATAAACTGTGTTTGGACTTTGGCGGTAGATTTTGGGATTATACAAGAAGAAAAAGGGAAGAGCGACTGTTCACTGATTGTTATGATTCCAAAATACTGGTAAAACCTTAGCCCACGTTAGTGTTACTGAGAAACTCGAGTGCCAACAGGCGACCAGGCCGATTTATTGTCGTTTTGCTTTTGCAGGTGCATTGAGAAGTAGGACCACGCCACGCGAGTGGCCTTACTCGCGTTTCCTTAGCAATCTCCCGCTATATTTACTATTGTGGGTTGTCTTCCCCAAAGCATGCGGACGTGGTTGCGCCACGTTCATGTCTGGAATAAAGGAGTGTGATACAGGTCTACTGGGGCGAGGATAATGAAGGGGAAAGACTCAGAATGGGAAACAAGGCACAAAGTAATAATAGAGGATTCAAAGATTATTACAAAGAAATTTTGTTATTTATTTAGAGATGGTGTATCGGGCTTTTATGTGGAAGAGATTTCTTGGGTACATATTTTAGAAGCTGGGAGAAGAAAAGAAAGCTTTTGTGAGGCTGAGAGCTTTGCTGGGAAAAAGTCGAATGTAATCAAAGTTTGGGATGTATGGTTTCGGTTCTCAGGTTGGAGCCAGCAGTAACAACAACAGATCATCTCACGGTACTGCCTTTCTCTTTCTCCCTACTGTCTATCTAGTTCTCCACTCCTTCCAATTATCTAAATTTGTATAGCTTGTGTGGTAAGAACAAATGCTTCATCTAGGTAGTTTGATTTCTCTGTTGTTTGCTTGATGTGATTTCATTTCTTTTGTTCATGGTGAAAATGGGTTTTTCTGCAACTGGGTTCTAGTAGGTGCAAGTGGTTACGTTGTTTCTGCTGAGAAATAAATACATGCTTGAAGCTTATTTCAGAAGTCTATCTTCGTGCTCCACAGATGTTTGCGTTTGTGTTGAGAAACTGGGGTGGTGTGGTATGTTCTTCTTTTTGAGCAATTTCGGTTCAGTATAGTCTATTGGTTTGAGCCTGAGGTGGGGTTTGTTAATACACAATGGCCGCCGTGGAAGTTAGAGAGCGTGGAAGAAGTCTGAGCATTATAGGATTTCTCCACTGTGTTTTCTGTGGCCGTGGTGTTGCTATAGGTGGATAGCGATGGAGGGTTCATCGGAATCTGGTTGGGGAAAAACTGATAGTTCCAGTGGGAGCCTTGGATTGCTTAATAGTGATCGGCCTTTCTCGGGCGATGCATACAGTAATGCCAGGTATATGCCAGGAGGGAAGGAGATAAACCGGGTGCCGCTGACTCGCACGAATCACCTTGGCTCTTCTGGGGCATGTGGGCATGCGGTGTCGGTGAGTCCTATTGTTCATCCCTTAGAACGGGACGAGGTTAGCTTGAGGCAGTGGTTGGACAAACCGGAAAGATCTGTAGACCCATTGGAGTGCTTGCACATATTCAGGCAGATTGTAGAGACTGTGAATCTGGCACATTCACAAGGCATTATTGTTCATAATGTGCGGCCTTCCTGCTTTGTAATGTCCTCTTTCAACCGTGTGTCCTTCATCGAATCTGCCTCATGTTCAAGTTCTGGTTCTGATTCATTTGAGGATGCCCTGAACAACCAAACTGTTGGAGGTCGGAACTCCACCTCACCTTTGCCCCAGGACTTGCACTGTCAGACAGGCGGGGTAGGCAGTGAAGATTCCAGGCCAGAGATATCCGGGGGAGGTGCTTCTCAGAAGGCATCAGAAACCAGTTGTTTGTGGTCAAGTTCAATCTATGCTACGCGTCTATCATCAATAGATGAGATAGAAGAAACTAAAATGGAGAATGACAGGAACATAGAAGAAGCGGGAGGGAGTAAGAAAACTTTCCCCATGAAACAAATATTGCATATGGAGAGTAAATGGTATACTAGTCCAGAAGAGGTTGATGGTGCTCTAAGTTCCTTTTCCTCAGATATTTATCGGTTAGGGGTCCTTCTTTTTGAGGTTTGTATTAAGTATATCTTTTTTTTTTATAAAAACATTTAATTTGGGTGGTGAATTTTCTGAGCTTTTATTTCATTTAAGCCAATATCATTGGTTTATTTATGAACAGTTATTCTGCACATTTAGCTCAATAGAGGAAAAGCTTAGAACAATGTCCAATCTGAGACATCGAGTTCTGCCCCCTCAGTTGCTGTTGAAATGGCCAAAAGAAGCTTCCTTCTGTATGTTGTTGTTGCACCCTCAGCCAAGTACCAGACCAAAAATGAGGTAAATTTTCTTGTCTTACATTCGCTACAATTTGAGCTTCAGATTGATATTTGCTATGGTGTTCTTGAATCTTACCAGTGTCTGTTATCAGTAATTTTCAGTATAATAGGCCTGCTAGTAGGTGGTAACAAAGAACCATGGAAGAAAGAGCTTTTATTATGTCTAAGTGATAATTAGTTGTTAGAAATTGCATAAAAAATTAATTGTGTATTTTTTCTTTCAATCAATAGCAATAAAAGCCAGGAGCAATTTCTGCTGATGGCAACCTGAACCTACTTGAGTGGTGGATGCCGGATAGAAAACATATAGGAGTAGGAGAACACAAAAGGCATGCATAAATTGCTCAATCCAAAAGAGAGTAATACTAGTAGAAGTCATGTCAAACACTTAAATAACAATAGAGCAATGCTAACATGAAGCACTTCATACACCAACCATGATATGGTTCTTGTCATGTCTGTAGTATACAAAAGTCAGGGTTGATGCATAAAGTGTCACCTACTAGCATTATTCATGATAGTAATAAAAATCTTGAACTCTAGAATATGAACCATTTTATACAACAAATGTGCAAATTTACCAATTATTTATTATATATTTTCCTTTTGTGGCTTTATTCTCTTTTTTATAGTTTTAAGTGTTTGATGTAAGAGATATTTTAAAAGCTCTGGAATATTTGGCATATTTATATACAATCTATATACATCTAAGTTTTCTACAAACTATATTACGTGCCAATTTCCAATAGATATTTACAAACTTGATGTCAAAAAGTGAACTGTGGAAGTATCAATATTATTTGAAGCTTATATTTTTTATGAACTTGGTACTTAACTCAATATGTGCTTGTTGACTCAAATTTCAATCACATCAAAATAGTCTTGGGATTCAAACTTCCCCTTTGATGTTAACCAGATGGTTTATTTTCATGGTTGGGCAGTTGGGAACTCCTGTCCAGGTCAAGTTTGGACCATTAGCTTTGTTTTATTGGCATTCATGTAACAAGTTTGTCTGTCTGCCTTTGTTTTGTTTGCGTTCCTATCCTACAATTTAGGCTTGTATGATCTTGCTTATTAATCTCTAACGAATTCTTGCTACCAATTAGATAAAAGATTTGATTCCATTATGTACATATCTGGTGCATTTTGTACTTTCCACATTGGGAATAATGGTCATGACATGGCTTCTCTCCTTGACACCATTGAGGGAAAAAAGAAGAAACAAAATGTGTGGTTCTTTACCTAGGAAAGCCAGTGCTGATGTTTCTTGATTGGTAAGAGGTAACTTACTAAATATAAAAATGCAGAAATGTTAGAAAATGGTTCACATTTCATAAAGGGATCCCCCAGGAGATAATATCTCAAAGGGTATAAAGGTACGCGATAGTCATTCCAATACCCAATGATAACAAGAAATGAACAACTTCAACATCTCATCATTTCTTCCTGTTGATTTTCTTTTTCAGTCTTTTCTATGCTTTCAAAGTGAACAACTAGTCCGGAATAAGAGAGCAGATGCCCTTATGAATTCCTATTAGTGGTCTTGATTTTGTTTCAAAAATCCTCCTGCATTGTTCCTTCAGTTTTTTTGAAGATAAATAAAGAAAGAAATTTTATTGCTAAAAGGAAAAAACGTACAACATAACTAGGTGACAAGATGTCACCCCCACCAGATTACAGTAATGCAAGACCACAAAGAAGCAGAAGCAACACTTCAGGAACAAAACAGAAATCAGCATTCCTTTTATGAATTTAGAGAAGTCCAAAAATCATAAGGACATCTGCATTGTTCCTTCAGTTCCCCCCCCCCCAAAAAAAAAATAGTAATATATTTATCTTCTATTGCTGGTATTATTTGTTATTGTTTTCTTCTTTTGTTCTTTTCAGTCTTTATGGCCAAAACTTCCTGGCTGGGATGCTTCCTTTGAGTTTGGGAAGGGATCTCCTTATATCATTAGGAAAGGGCCTTCTCTACTTAATAGACTCCCATCTTGTAGCAATTCTTAACTCTATCCCTTTTCTTGTCTGGATTGAATATTGGTCTTTGACTGGTGTTACATTGAGATAGAGCTTTTTGAGGAACCCATAGTGTTGGCATCTGCACATGAAATGACACTCCTAGGCACTGCATCCCATGGCATGGCACACAATGTCATGGAATGTTTCCATGCTCTGCCTTTAACTGAGAAATTCCCTAGACATCCCCTCTTCCATAACTCCACTGTTTCTTCTGTTTCTCTTATTCATCCCCTAGATATCTCTAGGGACCTTTTTCTTAGAAGAGATTTGTTTGATCATGAAAATCAAGAAATTATTTCCCTTTTGATCTCTTAAAGGATCTCCTTTACCCCTCTTCCATAACTCCACTGTTTCTTCTGTTTCTCTTATTCATCCCCTAGATATCTCTAGGGACCTTTTTCTTAGAAGAGATTTGTTTGATCATGAAAATCAAGAAGTTATTTCCCTTTTGATCTCTTAAAGGATGTCCTTTATTTTTTATAGTGGAGGAAAATTCATTAAAATAAATAAGGGAAGTACAAGTCTGACATAAGAAATCACAGAGAGCAGATATAGTAGAAATCACTGATTGCAGTTTTAGATGAATTCCTTGTGAAGAGAAAGAAGAAGAAGATGAAGAGTTTCAGTAATAGAGAGAAGAGAGGAGAAGAAAAGGAGTGGGATGTCAACCAGAATTGAATTAGTTCTGGCCACCAACCCTTCTTTGTATTATATACTCAAATTAAAAGAATAAGAGATTACAAGAATGCCCTTAGTAGGACGACTACTTAAGTAGCTGAACAGTCATTACTTAAAAAATATAAACTAATGGGCCTAAAACCTAATAACTTCCTAACTTGACAACTTAAAAATAAAAGATAAATAACTGGGCCCAATAACTAGAAATCGGCACAACTCAACACTCCCCCTCAAGTTAGGAGTAAATGTCACACATTCCCAACTTGTGTAGGTCATGCTCCAGCTTGCTCCTTGCAACACCTTTTGTGAGAACATCAGCAAGCTGCAAATCAGAAGCAATGTATGGGAGACAAACTTCCCCAAAAGTCACCCTTTGATGAAATGTCTATCCACTTCAATGTGCTTTGTCCAGTCATGCTGAATTGGGTTATGGGCAATGTTAATTGCTGCCTGGTTATCACAGTACAACATCATAGGTTCTTCTGCCTTTACACCAATCTCTCCTAACAAGGAACGGATCCAGAGAAGTTCTGAAACTCCATGTGCCATGGCCCTGTATTCAGCTTCTGCACTTGATCTTGCCACCACTGTCTGTTTCTTATTTTTTCACGAGACTAGGTTACCCCCAACAAAGGTGCAGACTCTTGAAGTAGATCTTCTGTCATCAAGGCATCCTACCCAATCAGCATCTGTATAAGCCTCTAGCTTCAACTGTCCATGATTAGCAAATAGTATGCCTCTGCCTGGGTGTCCCTTCAGATAAGAAAGAATCCTGTCAACAACCTCCCAATGCTGGACTCGTGGGGCATGCATGTATTGACTCACCACACTCATTGCATAGGAGATGTCTGGTCTTGTCATACACAGATACAACAGCCGCCCCACAAGTCTCTGATATCTCCCAATGTCCTTTACCAGCTCACCTTCTGATGGATTAATTCTGTGATTCTGATCAATAGGAGTATTGACTGCCCTTGTTCCAAGCTTCCCTGTTTCTTGTAGAAGATCCAGAACATACTTCCTTTGAGAAATAAAGGTTCCATGTTTTGATCTTGCAACTTCAATGTCGAAGAAGTACCTAAGCTCTCCAAGATCCTTAATTTCAAATTCCCTGTGTAGATTCTTCTTCAAACTGTCAATCTTACTTAGGTCATTTTTTTGTGACAAACAACATCATCCACATAAACAATTAGAACTGACACCAAGGACCCCCCCCGCTTCACAAACAAGGTATGGTCAGATTGAGTCTGAGTGTAGCCAAAAGCAACCAAGGCCTTCCTGAACCTGTCAAATCATGCTCTGGGAGACTGCTTTAAACCATAAAGTGACTTCTAAGTTTGCATACCTTCCCCTTTTCAGCATCACTGTAGAAACCAATAGGAAGATCCATATACACTTCCTCTTGTAGATCTCCATTTAGAAAAGCATTCTTCACATCAAGTTGAAACAGGGGCCAAGAGTATGTGGCAGCAAGAGAAAGACGTATTCGAACAGAAGTCATCTTTGCAATTGGTGCAAAGGTCCCTAAGTAATCAATGCCATAGGTCTGTGTGTACCCTTTTGCAAAAAGTTTGGCCTTATACCTTTCTATACTTTCATCTGCCTTATATTTGACTATGTAAACCCATCTACATCCAACAGTCTCCTCGCCCTCTAGTAGATCCACAATCTCCCATGTTTGATTCTTAATTAAGGCTTGCATCTCTTCCTACATAGTTGTCTTCCACTCAGGTTTAGAGAGAGCCTCACTGACACCCTTGGGTATAGACACAAAGTCAACAGAGGAAAGGAAAGCACACTAGGAAGGAGAAAGTCCACTGTAGGATAGATACTGTGAAATACAATGAGCAGTACACTTTCTCTTCCCTTTTCTGAGAGCAATAGGAAGGTCTAGGTTATCTGTAATGGGATTAGTAGAATCATTGGGAACCGAAACAGTAGAGGGATCAAGAGGAATACCTGAATCTGTGTCAACAAAATCTGGAGTCTCTAAGGAACCGGCAGGAAGTGATGTGAATTGTTCTTCTGCAGTGGAATCAACCTCCTTGTGAAGTCTCTGTCGTGAGTAACACTGAGAAGCAGGATGCAAAGGAGGTGGTAAGGTAGGTGACATAGGAGGATCAAACACAGGAGTGGACATAGGAACTGGAACTGGAAGAGGAATAAATTGTTCACTCACTTCCCCAAAACACTTCCCTTGAGAAGGATTCTTCGAGAATAAGGATGTGGACTCAAAAAAAGTGACATCCATAGTAATATACCGACTCCTAGAAATTGGATCATAGTAGCAGTACCCTTTTTGAT